TCTTCATCGTGTACCAAGACATAATACCGAAGATACTCATTATTGACCCATGGAGGTAAGCGATATGCTCCTGTATTAGATTCGGCATACAGGTTCCGGAGCTCCTCGATGGGCGACGGGCTCCGAGAGCTTATTGCAATCACTAACGCGACCGGATGAGCAAAAGTCTCGTGAGGCGTGAGTATTGTTCCGGAAAGCAGCTTCTGCTGGTACAGTGTGAAGGCAGGGGAATCGTTCAATTCATCTCCTGAGATACTCAACCTGCCGAGATCCGGCTCCTTCGAGTCCAATTGACGCTCCACTAATTGTTCGATCTGTGCCGTATCACCTCCCGATCTCAATCTTGCTGGTCGATATTCTTCCGGCACGGGACCCATGCCTTGAGCGCCAGTAGAATCCGTCCGATTACGGCCCATGCGGGGAGCCTCGAGGCCATCCTTGATCCCTGTGAAGCGAACGCCGAAATCATCCCATGCTCGGCCGGCACCAGTGCTGTCTCTGATGACCACCCTACCCGGTATCACCTCTCCGAAAGGCCTTAGCAGTTCCAAGAGTCCTCCATTCAAGCCTTTGTGTCGCATCAACTCTTCACAATCGGGAGACGACAGCACCGACACGTGTGGCGCAAATGCTTGACAGACAAGAGCTGCATGCGCAGTCCTGGAGTCCGAAGATTGTGGCGATGACAGCCGTGCAGGGTACCTTGTGCCGCCGGGCGACAGCACAGATTCGGTCAAGGCAGAGCTCGAGGGAGTTGGAGGTCCGGATGTTACCGAGGCAGAAGACGGCTGGGTGCCGACAGAGGAAGACTCGGACTGCGTTGTAGACGTAAAGTATCCTGTCTGATGCGAATCGCCGAGTGTCTGTTGCGAGCCGCCATGGCTGGCATCATCGATGGCCGTCGAAGGTGGTGAGGCCAAGTCGCGATCGGTCAAGGAGGTCATGAGAGGTGGCGAAAAGTCGCAAGAGACTCTTGCGCGTGGAGCAAGGACTCTTCGACCATCAGTCGCGGGACCAGCAAGTTGTCGCTAGGCTCTGTTGATGGGCAATGCCGAGAATGCGGGCTTCTGTCGTAAAGACTGAGGTGGACCCATCTATCCATGTCCGGCCACATGCAGTCGCGCGATGTCCGTCCTCCGCCTGCGGTTCTTGGCATCAGAGCGACGACTTTACCTCCACGTTGAACTTCCTGTTCAACGAGCTCAACCGACGGCACCATGCATCGTGAATGCGATCCTCAATTTCACATCTGCCATGCCATGGTCAACCCTTGCAATATCTCTTGCAGTGGGCCTCACTCTTCAAATTGGGATTGGCACTGATGAAGGCTGCATAATCAACGTGTATGATACAATTTCGCTGCTAGCCCAATTGCTATGGTGAGTGTCATGGAGCAAGACGGGAATCATTTTCATTTCTCTCAGAGCAGAGATTGATTACGAGTCTATCGCTTGAGATTGATGGTTTCGACAATGCAGGATCTTCTCATGATGCAAGGCCTCGCATCCTGGAGCCTTCCTCAGCTGCACTCAATCCTGCTGTGTACGCGAAGTCAAAGGATCCAGACTCGCTACGTCTCAAAGGACTCGTCTTGCACAGGTCTTCTGTCATAGACGATGGTGGCGAAGACACAGAGCACAAGACGCGGATTCTGAAACACGTGATAGGCCGAGCACCATGTCCGAGCGCTCGGGACAATATCAATATCGGCGGTGATCAAGCACCTCTCTCCCTTCACTCTCCCTCTTTGCTTCGCTTTCAGCCTTCCTTTGATCTGACATTGCTTGTTCGTGCGGCAATCTTTTTCCTCTCTGCCCCTCCTGGCTCTTCCAGCAGTTTCGAGAGAGACGTTTCAAACTATCCGCATGCCCGCCGACGGTCCCCGAGCTGCACCGCGAAAGCCCCGTTCAAGTTATTGCCTCACGTAAACGGTCCCTTCGGCGCCGGAGTTACAGCTGTCACATCTTGTGAGACTACGTGTAGTCGGCTACTCCCCGCCATGACTATCCCGACGACTCGCGCTAGCAGAACCCCACACGCGACACTGTCCATATTTGCTCCACGGGGATTCGTCACAGATACTCCGATCGGCCTCCTAACCATCAAACCGAGAAGTTCCTTGTGGAGAATCGCTTTTGATCGTCGTATCATGGCATTTCTGTGACATTGGCATGTTCGACCACTCTGTGGGTCTTCACGCTGGTAGTGGCAGTGCTGCCAACATATGTGCTGCGTTATTGACCGAAACAAGGTATGTACAGCTTGGTAAGCTCGTGCATTGATAGATTCAAAGGCTGGCGGGCCGATAAGCCATCAAGCCTGGCCGTATATATATCCTTGCAATTCTCTCCCTAGCATCATCTATCTCTCAGGACAAAGACACTGAGAGGCCTTTTCTCAGAACGATTCTCAACATGCATCTCTATGGTATTGCTTTGGGTTTGCTGGCTGCGGGCCAGTCTGCTGGACAGACTGGCTTTGCTCAGGCACGCCCGACTGTGGGAGAAAACGCCGCTTCCAATCTGAATTCCGATGATCTGAGAGCTATGTAGGTCTTGGCCGCACACAGGGCTTGTCGAAACCCACTGACACCATTTGTCGCAGCAATGTTGCTATCCAAGCTCTGGAAAACGGTCAGCATTACGTCAATGGGCAGCGCCTTGCTTGCACCCCTGACAACTTCTGCTGCTCAATGCAGATGTCTAAAGGTATCAAGACAGGCGCCGAGATCAAAGCCCACGTGGCTGAGCTCTTGTATGGCGTTCAATCTTCGTCCGGAGACGAGCTTGTGTGCAACCAAGTCACCAAGCGACAATCCAAGAGATCCAGACGCAGCGAATCCCCGCAATGCTCAAAGCCAGGAGAGCCTCATGAGCCTCATGAGCCTCATGAGCCCGGCGAACCTAGAAGGCCGGGTGAGCCTGGAGAGCCTGGCGAGCCGAGGGAACCTGGTGAACCATATGAGCCGGGTGAGCCAGGGGAGCCCGGAGAGCCCGGAGAGCCGCGCGAGCCACACGAACCGCACCATCCGGGAGAAGGTCGTAAGCCTCACGAACCTCACAACCCCTACGAGCCAGGCGAACCAGGAGAGCCAGGAGAGCCGAGAGAACCCGGTGAGCCCGGTGAGCCAAGGGAGCCTGGTGCGCCTGGTGAGCCGGGAGAGCCGAGAGAGCCTGGTGAACCTGGAGAGCCCCGTCACCCTCACAGGCCAGGCGAGCCGGAGGAACCGACGAATCCCGACTATCCCAAACCAGCCCCGTATAAGGCAGCAATTGCCGCGAGGGATGTGGAATCTAAAGGTCACAAAGGCAAAGGCAAGAAAGCCCACAAGGGCAAGAAGCCCACGCCGGCACCCAAAGATCCCAGCGAACCCCCTGCGGAGCCTCCGATGAAGCGCGATACGCAAGATGAAGGCGAAGTAGAGGGTCGTCATAAGGGCAAGAAGCCTCACAAAGGTCACAAGCCGAAGCCAACACCAAAGCCCACGCCCGGAGAACCCGGCGAGCCTGGAGAGGGAGAGCCTCCTGCAGAGCCACCGACAAGGCGCGATACTCAAGATGAAGACGAAATACAAGGCCGTCACAAGGGCAAGAAGCCCCACAAAGGCCACAAACCGAAGCCAACACCAAAGCCCACACCCGGGGAACCCGGAGAACCAGGAGAGGGCGAGCCTCCTGCGGAACCTCCCATGAAGCGTGACGTCGAAGACTCCGAGCACCGCGGCCATCACCATCATCATCATCAGCCACCGCACAATCCTGATGAACCAGGAGAACCCGGAGAGCCTGGAGAACCCGGAGAGCCCGGTGATGGTGAACCGGGCGAGCCAGGAGAGGGCGAGCCAGGAGAGGGCGAGCCAGGAGAGGGAGAGCCCCGCGAGCCACGAAGGGGCCACAGGCATCCTCACGGACCACGTGAGCCATCGCGCTCCCGTCCTGGAGAGGGCGACGAGCCCGAGGAGCCTCGTTCCAAACGCGATGTCGAAAATGATAAGCCTGGCCATATATCACCGAACAAACCTGAGCACGGACCGCATCACAAGCCGCCGCACTCACCTCCAGGCGAGCATGAACCGCCGCACGGTGGCCATAAGCCGCCTCACACCCCACCAGGAGAGCATGAACCCCCTGTCGAGGAACCCCCTACAAAGCGCAGCGATGAAGGTGTCACCCCTGAACACGGTGCTCACCACAAGCCAGGCCACGGTTCTCCGGAACATGGCTCTCACCACAAGCCGGGTCACGGATCACCCGACAAGCCACCGCACTCGCCGCCAGGAGAGCACGAACCTCCTGAGGGCAAGCCGCCGCACGAGACCGAACCTCCAGTCGAGGAGCCGCCCATGAAGCGTGAGGAGAAAGGTAAGACCCCCGAGCATGGTCACCCCAAGCCTGGCCACGGCTCTCCTCACAAGCCGCCGCACTCGCCCCCGGGAGAGCATGAGCCCCCTCACGGTGGTCACAAGCCGCCTCACACCCCACCGGGCGAGCATGAGCCCCCCGTCGAGGAATCGCCCGTTGCCAGGTTCTTCAAGTGGTTCTAGGAGCAGGAGCTGCAGTGAGAAATGGGCGGTCGGCTGGAACACTAGCCAGGTGGGCTGAAGGAGATGAAGTGTAAACGGAGAAGCAGAATGTTTACGGAGTTTGGGACATGGAAAAAAAAAGATGGAGATGACACCATCAAGTCACAATATTGCGGCGGACTGGATTATCACTGGTGGTACTTCGATTCTGGACCATGCATATATAGCTTGTGACTTGAATGCGAAGGTGTCATCCTCCATGTCTTTGAAGAACCTCATCATTGGTGCAAAGCGCAACAAATTCCACGTAAGTCATGTGAAAGGTCGCAATGTGAATGTGTTGGGCTCATTTCCTTGAGAAATCGGGCCAAAACATTGCAGGTTGGTTGGAAAAGGTGTAGTGTGCCACAAGGCAAAAATCCGATAATGGTGTCAGTTTCGGGAGGGTGAACCAAGGAAGTGGAAAAAAAATAATCGATGGTCACTACGAGGGTCGAACTCGCGACCTTGGCGTAACTTAGGGAGAACCCGTATTAGCACCACGCTCTAACCAACTGAGCTAAGCGACCGTGTTTGATTGATGTGAGGAAAGGTTCAAATAAAACATATATACTAAATCTAATCAGTGCCTCCATGGCATTGAGATTTGTCGCATTCCCCCAGCGGCGGCCGCAAGACCGTGCCACCTCCATGCGATTGACTCACTACACACAACTACCAAAATGCTCCTCGGACATACGTGACTACGCTTACTGGAGAACACAGCTTCTGACTTGCTTCAATCATCTCGCTCTTGCATGCGTACTCGCGCATTCCGACAATTTTGTGCAGGCGGTCGAGAAAACCCATTAGCGTTCGTTTCCATCAAAAACTGCGCAGGCTTTGTGAGGCCAACATGCAAACGCCAGTCAACTCAAAACGATCGCTTTTTCCGTAGCTTGCCTTTCTGTTCTCAAGCATCTGGAATAAGATCAGACCCTCTCCAATACCTCAGGCGTCCTAATATGACAAGTCCGCTTCCTTTTAGTGCTCACAATGGCACCAAAAGCCGTGCCATACAATTGACGACCGTGGAAGAGACGCTAAGACGGCTTCTGCTCGATGTCGCAGATTTCATTGCAGAAAGTCCCGTCAATGGTCACTCTGAGTCACAAGTCACTCTCCCACCAGCGTTAGCGGGCGAGAAGACGGTACTTCGATTCACCGGAGGATGGGTCAGAGACAAGCTTCTAGGTGTCGACAGCCATGATATCGATGTTGCGATCAATAACATGACTGGATACCAGTTTGGTCTCCGCATGAGAGAATACCTGGATCAACCTGGAAATTTACAGAAATACGGTCTGGACGGAGTGGCGACCACGGATGCCCAGTCTCAAAATGCTGGAGCCAATAGCAAGACCAGGCTCGTCGGAGGACTGCACAAGATCGAGGCCAATCCTGAAAAGTCCAAGCATCTCGAGACTGTCACTACAAGGATATTAGGTCTGGACATTGATCTCGTCAATTTGCGCAAGGAGACCTATTCCGAAGACAGTCGTAATCCCCAAATGGAATTTGGAACGCCTGAAGAAGATGCTCTCCGACGCGACGCTACCATTAATGCCATGTTCTACAACCTCAACACATTACAAATTGAGGATCTCACATCTCGCGGCTTCAGTGATATGGAACAAAAGATCATCCGGACGCCCTTGGAGCCATATCAAACCTTCAAAGATGACCCGCTGCGCGTCTTGAGACTCATTCGCTTCGCTAGTCGTCTCAGTTACACGATAGATCCAGCTGCAGCGGATAGCATGAGAAACGCAGATATCAAGGAGGCTCTCAAGATCAAGATTAGTCGTGAGCGGGTGGGTGTTGAGCTCGAAAAGATGCTCAGAGGTCCAGATCCGGCAGGTGCTCTGCAACTTATCAGCGAAGCTGGCCTGTATACCACAGTGTTCTCCGATCCAACCGCTACTGCAGACGTCATCGACCCGGATGTCGACACGTGGCACGTCGTTCGTGAGCAAGCTGCAAAGCTTCTGAATGGAAAGCATTCTCTCAACAAGTATCTCATTCATGATGAAGAAGACAGATTCAGCGCATGGACACTGGCATGTCTTGTACCTTACAGGAACGCCCCACAACAGCAAAGCCCTCCTGGCAAGAAACAGCCACCTCCTGTTGCAACGCAGGTCGCAAGGGAAGGCTTCAAAGCACCGAATAAGATGTGTGAAGTCCTTACCGCTGCAGTGAAGAATGCCTCAGAGATCGGAAGAGTCGCAACTGCGTACGGTAGCAGAAACATAAATGCTACTGTGGCGAATGAATCGCATGAGCGTGGCGAGTTGGGCGTGGCAATCCGTCAATGGGGCAGTTCATGGAGGCTGCAAACGGTCTTCGCTTTGCTTGCGGCGATCGCGGATCAACCAAATCTGATCGATGGTGAGTATTAGCTCAAGCGCTCGTGTATGAATCTAATTAAACCAGAATTGTTCACCACATACGGCAATTTCGCTAGTAGAGTCAACGAGCTCGGCTTATCTGAGGCATACACATTTCGGCCTCTTCTCGATGGGAAGCAACTAGCTAAAGCCATGGGGCTGGCACCTGGACCCTGGATGAAGGACGCGTTAGACGTCGTGATGGCATGGCAGCTCCGCAATCCGGGCAGCACGGATGTATCGAAAGCCGTCGAAGAGGTCAGGAACAGCAATGTGCACGGTGAGCTCACGGATGATCTCGTCAAGCATTTTCTGTCGCTGACGATTCGCCCTTTGTTCACAAAGAATCCACACCCGGCAGTAACGGACCAAGGCCGTAAGAATAAAGCAAACTCAGCATCAAAGCCCATAGATATCACCTTCGACGAGGTTGCGGCGAAGCCATGGAAGAAGAGGGAGCACCAAGCTCTGGAGATCACGGAATGGGTCATACGACATCTGGACGAGGCATCGGTAGAGAGGCACTGGCATCTGATTATACCACCTTTACTGAGTATAATAGACGATAACCAGGTTTCCTTCAAAGCAAGGGGATGCGAACTTGTCACTTTACTTCTACAAAGAACACCTTCTGGTCAGTTGACAAAGACAGGGCTGTTTGATGTCTTTAGGGAGGCATTAATGCCGTGTTTTGGCTTCTTGCCAAGTCTAACGCCCGAGGACGAGTCTATTGATCTCCTGAATCATGCTTTCCCGGCCCTTCTCGCTTTACACAGCGTGAAATTTCGCTCCGAAAGCTCAGCCACTCTTGAGCAGAAGAGCCGAACTCAAAGCGTTCAATTCCTCGACACGCTTATTCGGCAAGGGGTTCTGTCGCCTTATGCGCATTGCCCTGAGAATGTGCGCATCTCGATTGTCATTCTCCGCAACTTCTGCACGGTCAATGACGCTCTTGGTCTGGAGTCCATTAAACATCTTAAACATTATCTTCCTTTGCTGAACGAGATTCTCTGCAATCCTTTCGGTGCAGCGAGTCCAGATCTACTTCTCGTCGCAATAATGGCACTGCAGAGCGTAATTAGGAACAGCTGGCCCCGGGTGCTCGAATCTGGTGGCGAGATGGCTAAGGGGCTGTGTCTCAGCTGGATCAACGTGGCGGACTCGGATCGTCCGGACGATTTTGAGGAGTTCCGAAGAGAAGCCAAACGAACTGCTGACATGCTCCGTCGTGCTGTTGAGCATGCTGGTGGTGATTGGACCGAATACCGAAGCCTAGTAGAAGCTGACAGTCGCCTGGAAGGGTTGCTCGACCGCATAGAAGACTAGCGCAATTGAAATCCTCTTTTGTGCTCATCCTTTGCCATTGATTCCCTTCTGTTCTTGCTCTGCGGCAATGTGGATCTTCAATTCTACCGTCTCTTTCAAAGTAGCCGCGAGAACGATACGAGAGAGCTGAGCGGCCTCGACAGCCTTGTTGATCAAGGAGACTTGATCCGGTCCCACATTCCCTTTGGTCCAAAGTTCCGTGATCTCGTCCCTTGATTGCAAGTATCCTACCACACAAGCAGCATCTAGCCCAGAATGCTCGCTAGGACACGGATCAACGACAGCATCGGCTCCGGATAAAGCAGCGACACCTCCAGTGACCAGATCCACGCAGTCGATTCCCGCGTCGACCAAAGCCGCTGAAGATGCCGTGATACAGCCCGCTAGCACGGTCATGACCCCTGCGCCGCCCAGCAATCCTTGTTGTCCATCGGCCCAGAATGCATCATCTTCCCCCTCCAAGACAGTGACAATCACATCAACAGCGCTCTTCGGGAATCGTTCCGCAAGTATGACACCTCTTAGCGCTGTCTCCAAATGTGCAGCGAGATCCCGCTCGACCGAGTCTCGAACGTATCCCCGCCGTATCCTGAAAGCAAACGGTGCGAACTTGACGTGCGTGTTCAGGATCATGGTAGAACTATAGGGCGTGTTTCGGGGAAGCGGTCGAGGCCCATGAACGGTGACCGTGAGCTTGACGTTTGAGCATGGTGGTATGAGTAGCTCGGACTTTTCTGTCGCTGTTGCGAGCTCCAGGTAGGCGCTCCCAGAGGCTGAAGGCACGAGTCCAGTGCGCAAGAAGAGTTTCCGGGGCTCGTCCGCGGGGCGTGTTCGCGATGGTCGGCTTACTGTGCCGTCGGATTCGAAGATGGGCGGCGCAGTACCGCCCGGAGGTGGATTTATTCGGCGACGGTCAGTCATTGTGACGACTGAAACAGCAATTGAACGACAGAGAAAGTCATTTCCTGAAGATGTAGAGCTGGAATGCAGTGATCAGAAATCTTGGCTCGATTCGTGGGACAAATTTGGAGAAAGCAATCTGACTCGGTGGTGTTGATAGAATTCTGCAAATTCCGACGCTGCTTTGACGCTCTCCTTCATTCCCTGTTCTTGACACCTGAAAGAATTGTATAGATGGACGTCAGAACATACGCGTGTAAGTGTCAAATACAGCAATACTCTCACATGAGGAAACTTCACGAACAGTTCCGGTGACCACCTGATCCCGAACAAAACATGCATCACCATCTGATCACATCACAAATCCACTTGCCTTACAAGTCAATCTACCCTATTTGCTCAGCAACTGACTTGGTAAAGAGGTCCTGTTTCGTTCGAAGACAAATTTGACTACAAGTACGTTTTCTTTCCAATTCTTCTTCAACATGATGACGGTATCAATTTCAGTTCTGCTACTGAATACACAATGTGGACAACATATACCATGCTTACCTTGTCTGATTTTTTCCAACTGCAATCCTGTTCTTCGCTAGACTCGAGATCTTACAGAGGCTGACTATAGAACAGGCTACTTTTATTCCACATGACCTGCACAAAGGTATGAGCAGCCATTCTTATTCCTTTCACCGAGATGATCCAAGTCAATCCATTCAATGAAGCCTCCACGCCCCGGTCAAGCCACCATACTGTAGTCACTCGTTGGCAAGGATCGGTTGTGTGGTTCAGGCACCGATGCTGACTTTCGAGTCAAGCTGTCAAAGCCTTTTGGCACCAAAGCCTCGTCGTTGCTTGTTCGTCTTGAACCTGCGATGGCGTCGTAGGGGCAGAGGCAGGAGTAAATCGGCTTTACTGAG